CATAAAATTTTTGGCGATCGGAGTAAATGTCACGTGGTTATAATGCCACGCCCCTTTGAGGTCTGAGTCGAAAATCTGCTGTTGCCGGCATTTTTTCGTGAAAATCTCTCGGCTACACATAGTGCGCATTAGTGCCTTGCGCTGAACAGAGTTTCACCAAAATCGCAAAGACCCAATTCGAGAAATTCAGCGGTTTCCAAATTTAGGTCATAATTTATGCGAAAATGATAAGCAAACTTTACACGGATTATATCTAATAAACTATGAGATTCATCTCTTTATTTTGGGCATCGTTATAACAGATGGGTCCTTGCAAGTCAGCAAAACGCTTTAGGGCCTTGTAAATGCGCGCGATTTCGAGCAAAGCAAACATATAGAAATTATAGTTTTCGCTATTTGTTGACGTTTGTCAGCGTTTAAGAGTCCTTCTCACGAAAAAAGCATTTTCTTAAAAATTCGTAGTTTTTTTTCCTTCAAATTTTTTCAGGGCCACAATTGATTAACTAACTACCCGGACTCTGAATTTCATGGTCATTGAAAAACTGTGACATTATCTTCTATAAGCCCAAACTTGAGTAAACATTGAAGATTTTTAGCGTTTTGGCTGAGTTTGTGCTTTGGGAGTTGTCTATTGTTTCTAGTCTGTCATTATACAGCATTCTTGTTCAGCACGCGTGCAATGACCGCGCTTGGCTGACTTCCGAATGCTCACCGAGATATAATAATTTTGGTACAGTGAGACAGGCCATCGCGTGATACATAGAGGTTTAAGTCACAATTTTTAATCAATTCTCGTGCTTCTTGTGCCTTTGCAAAAAAATCAAGAAGTGCTACACACTAAATCTACTTACTATTAAAAAAATATCATTTTTTCATAGGTTTAATGCAAGCCAATAATTAAACCAACTCGTGACGGGAATATCTCGGTGAGCATTCGGAAGTCAGCCAAGCGTGGTCATTGCACGCGTGCTGAACAAGAATGCTGTATAATGACAGACTAGAAACAATAGACAACTCCCAAAGCACAAACTCAGCCAAAACGCTAAAAATCTTCAATGTTTACTCAAGTTTGGGCTTATAGAAGATAATGTCACAGTTTTTCAATGACCATGAAATTCAGAGTCCGGGTAGTTAGTTAATCAATTGTGGCCCTGAAAAAATTTGAAGGAAAAAAAACTACGAATTTTTAAGAAAATGCTTTTTTCGTGAGAAGGACTCTTAAACGCTGACAAACGTCAACAAATAGCGAAAACTATAATTTCTATATGTTTGCTTTGCTCGAAATCGCGCGCATTTACAAGGCCCTAAAGCGTTTTGCTGACTTGCAAGGACCCATCTGTTATAACGATGCCCAAAATAAAGAGATGAATCTCATAGTTTATTAGATATAATCCGTGTAAAGTTTGCTTATCATTTTCGCATAAATTATGACCTAAATTTGGAAACTGCTGCATTTCTCGAATTGGGTCTTTGCGATTTTGGTGAAACTCTGTTCAGCGCAAGGCACTAATGCGCACTATGTGTAGCCGAGAGATTTTCACGAAAAAATGCCGGCAACAGCAGATTTTCGACTCAGACCTCAAAGGGGCGTGGCATTATAACCACATGACATTTACTCCGATCACCCAAAATTTTGTGATATTGTAGATTGATCTATATGTTATCCATTCTATGTGTTAGACTTACGATAAAAGTAAAGGTGGGGATACCAGAGAGCTTCAAAGTAGGGTGGTACCCCCCCAAAAAAAACTGGGTCGAGTCACCTTAAGCCAAAAATCACACGACAAAATCTATAAATCACAACCCTTGACATGTCCGGGGGGCCTTCTAACCACAAAAAACGAACACAATCTCTGTCCCTCCATTTTTGCTCTCACGCTATCATCGTTAGTTAACCACTTCCTTAACTTGAATCCCCCCTCTTGCATTCGCATGCAGGTTTTCCCATAAAGAATCTTAACGTTGTCTGGAAACCGATATTGAGGAAAGCCTTGTCAATATCGCCCACGAGCACAAAATTTTTTTTTTTACAAAATCGCATTAGTATATCATATAACAATGGGTTTAGCGACGGTCCTACATGAAGGCAATCATTCAGACGTTCCAGACTTCTTTTTTTTTTTCGAGGAGGTATCGTAAACAATTCTTACCTTGGTTGTTCTGGCTTCTTTCCGAATAACAGCTTGGTGAGGTAACTAGTGCACTTTCTCCCCCCTTTCCAATTCTACCACTTTCTCTATTACACCTCTTTATTACACCGCTGTCTAATTGATCGTTGATGATTGACGCGTATTCCCTGAGAGCTTCAGGTTCCTTTTCTAGTCTTGCAACTTGAGACTTAAGACGTCTTAGGCTTGTGGAATAATTAGTAGAGAGTTCTGGGTGGCCTTCTTTCGACGGTGATTTGACTGAATATCTACTCCTGTCAAAGGAAATGCCTTCCCTGAATTCTTCATGTACTTCATCTTTAACCGGGTTAATTCCCAGCGTTTCCAAATCCCACAATTTATGGACTTCACTTTCAAATGTTTGGTCAAGCACACTCGTAATAAGATTAACCTGAGTGGATACGATGTCATTGTTACTCTTGCATTTCATAGGCCCCGAGAGTACCCACCCCAATTCTGTCTCCACTGCTACGGGCTCATCAGGATAATAATTAATAATAATAATTTATTACATTTACTATAGCGCTTTAACTATTAAAATATAATAATAATTAATTATTAAAATATAAGCACTTTACAATATGTACAAGAAAATAAATATGTATATACAATAAATGGAAAGAAATAATAATAGTAATAAGAAGATTAATTTACAAATTGAAAGCTTTCTTAAAAAGATAAGTCTTCAACTGTACTTTAAAAGAGTCAATGTTCATACAGTTTCTAAGGCTAGATGGCAGAAATAATAATATTAATAAGGATATAAAATTACAAATTAAAAGTTTTCTTGAAAAGATAAGTCTTCAACTGTACTTTAAAAGAGTCAGTGTTCCTACCGTTTCTAAGGCTAGATGGCAAAGCATTCCATACTATTGGTCTGGCATGGAAAAAGGCTCGATCGCCAAAAGTCTTCCGTGTCACCTTAGGGATTACAAGCGATGTTTCAGAATCAGACTGCAGGCTGTATCTACTTCTAGGGTTTACAACAAGTAGTTCAGATAAATATTGTGGCGCCAGGCCATTCAGCATTTTAAAAACTAAAAGCGCAATCTTAAATTCTACTCTAAATTTCACTGGCAACTAATGAAGTTCCCTAGGTACCGGAGTAATATGGGCAAACTTAGGAATTAAGCATGTAACCCGAGCCGCCGCATTAAGAACTTTTTGAAGTCGGTCATATTGAAATTGCGGAAGCTTATACAAAAGAGCGTTGAAATAATCTAAATGTGATGTAACAAACGCATGAATTAAACACTTTGTTGATTCTGCAGACAGATATTTCCTAATTTGCCTAATATTATAAAGCCCCCTAAATGCCTTACTACACACCTTTCCTATATGAATGTTCATAGACATATGGTTATCAAACCATGTGCCAAGATTTCTAATATGCTTAAGGGGTTGAATGTCACAGTCACCAATTTTAATTGAAGCCATGGTAACCTTGGATAACTGCCGCAACAAACTGACGATTAGAAATTCTGTCTTTGAATCATTAAACATCAACCTGTGTGAGACTAACCAAGCCCTAACATCAGCTATGCAGTTCTCAATAGCCTTAATCGTTTGATCGTGAGCAGCAAACGAATCTGGACGAAACGACACGTACAACTGAGTATCATCAGCATACCCATGAACTGATGGAAGGTGCTTCTTAACAACCTCAAACAGCCTTGATGCATACAATAGAAAAAGGGCACGTCCCAAACAGCTCCCCTGAGGAACACCATAACTTAAATTAAAGGTCTTATAGGACTGCTGATTAACAATTATACGTTGTACCCTTTCAGTCAAATATGATCTAAACCACTTCAGAACATCACCGCAAATTCCAAAATCTGATTCCAGGATGTTATGATCGACAGTGTTGAAAGCAGCACTAAGATCTAAAAGAACAAGAAGAGTTACTTCCTGTTTGTCCATGTTGGAGAGTATATCACTCTGGACTTTAAGAAGAGCCGTCTCAGTTGAATGAAACTGACGATAGGATGACTGGTGAACTGGAAGTGGAGCATTATCAGAGCAATGCCAGAAAAGCTGACCCACAACTGCCTTCTCAGCTGATTTGGAGACCATAGGCAGATTACTAACCGGCCTGATCAGGACCCCCCCTGATCATACGCTCCTTCTGGAAATTCCACAAATAATCTGCGCCCACTAAAACATCTGTTTCCAATTCGTCCAACCCCTTACATACATCAGAAAACCACAAATCCTTTAGGTGGGGGTACTCACCTTTGGCAAGCTCTACATGTCCATTCTGAATGGTTGACATTTCAGGTACGACATACGCCTCTATTTGAATTACCTTTTGTCCTCCGACGGGACTTACCTTAATGTCCACAACATCTCTTAAGCATGTGTCTTGAGCATGCTGTCCAAAAGTGCTAATTCCCAGCCAATCCTGCCTAATAACAGGAAGCTGTGAGTGCTGAGCGGCCTTAGAAGTGATGAACGAACGATGACTACTAGCATCAATCAACACCCTGACCCTGTAAGGGTCACCCTCCCCCCAGAGAACCGCCAGCGCTGTTTGTAATGCAACTTGCTCTCCCGAGCCAAGGTGCAAAGTGCTAGGACTTAAGGCGCTAGGTTGCGCATCTTTCCCCTCAGGCAAAACTTCAAATTCTCTTGCATTGGGACTTAAATGCTTATCCTTAGACTCACACAACGAAACATGATGGCTATGTTGCCCGCAATTACTACGTGTAATATTAGCCCAAAACTCTCGGGCTCAGTGGCCCCTTTTCATGCACTTAAAACATCAACCAAATTTAATTAGAATACTCCTACATTCCTTTGTGTCTTTAATCCGATGACAGTTCTCGTAGGCATGTTTGCCCAAACCAAAGGCACAGTTCGCATTGTCCTGTTTGGTATGCAAAGCATTCGCGGTTCCACCCTCCAAGCGATTCTCTTTCCGATCTTCGATGGATTAACTGCATAGAAATGGTCTTCTCTAAGGTCCAACTCCTTAAGAAAGGCCTCTAACATCTCCATTGACCACATCAAAAATTCCTCTCCTCTTGTAATCATGAGGCGAAAGTTCTCCGGTAATTTCTGCATCATGGCGGGCACAACTACTGTAGAGTAAGTGTTCTTGCCACTCCGAGAGCCTGTAGGCCCCTGAAGTGGGCTTCGCAGTCGTCGAACAATTTCCTCAGCCTTGGTATATCCCTGTCACTGAAGACTGGTGGAAGTTGCAGCAAATCATTTATATGGGCTCTTTGAATAGCTTTCTCCTTTCCATATCGGTTCTTTAGGACTTGTACTGCAGCTGCCTAATTCGCTCCTGTCAGAGCGAAACCTGCTATCATCGATCATGCTGGTTTGTACAAGAAACTTTTCAAGTAAGAGAATTTGTCAACTGCAGACAGACTTTCATTTCCATCTATCAAACTCTGAAACGAGTCCCAAAACTCTTGCTAATCTTGAAGTCTGCCACTAAACTTCTTGACCTCTAACTTCGGCAACTTCACCTTTACAAGGTGCTGCTGGCTGGATCCTGAGGTTGGGCTTTCACTTTGGGCGGGAACATTTGTTGGCTTCGGCTGTGGAATGCTGGAAGAACTCAAGATCTCCTCCAGCCTCCAAACTATTTCATTTAACTCTTTTCTGATTTGATCACTGTCTTCAATCTCTTTTTCGATGCGAACTTCAACGTCTTCCCCCTCTAGGCTTCCAATCAGTTCAATTATTTGATTGTCGAGGCCCTTCAACGAGTCTATCTTTTCTTTCAGTGTCTGCAGCGACTGTTTTATCTACTGTTTATCCTCCTCTGCACTCCCATCAGCTAATCTATGCTTGATCTTGTTCGTTAGCTTCGTCGCAGAACTCCTGTGTCTCGTTGTTTTCATTTCTTCTCAATCTCTGCCTTTTCGGCCATGATGAACAACTTTCTCTGTCTTGACTAGTCTTGTAAACTCAATCCGGCTCGAAGGACCACTGTGTTCGGGAATATCCACATTCACAACATTCACAATAAGAGCACTGTATATTTTATTCCCGACTTTTCACCTTCGACACGCACGTTCTACAATCAATGTACACTCAACAACAACATTCCACAATCTGCCCTGTCTTCTACTATCACTATCCTAAATACAGCAAATACAGTTCTAAGGTTTCAGCGACACGCAATACATATGAGAAACAACGACTCTGTTGTATGCCTCAGCTATAGATTGTAGAATACAACTAAACATTTATCTATCAATATTAATCATGTCATGCAGTCATTGATATCCGGTTTGATCCATTGCATGCAAACTCTAGCGATAATTACAATTTCGTGTCATTTCCCTTAAAATCGCGCAATGGAGTGCTTGTTGCGTTACAAAATGCATACTATTTCCAACATGTTATGTCAAAATCCCAACTTAAAAACACTGCAAAAAAAAGTCGGAAAATTGTGTGTTTGTAGCAGTGATTTTCCTACGCAGCTGAGCAAAGTCACTTTTCAACTTTTTCGAGAATAAAACCTCATAGCCTTCACCAAAATTAGAAAAACTTGGCTGAGACGTGGCCCAAATATCAAGTGATTTTTCAGAATTTTTTCAGCTTCCACCCTTTGAAATTAGAATTTCTACGAATTTTTAAAGTTGTTAGGTCACTAACAATAAACTGAAAGCTCTTTTTTGAGCTTCGTGTCCTATACTCGACATGCACTTCCACTAGAAAAATTTGAAAACTCAAAAATCGGTTTTTTTTTTGGCAAGGGTGAGCAAAGGGCTTGAGAACAATGAGAGGGTACGATATCCAATTGCTGAATCCAGAAAGAAATCCAAAAAAGCGTTCTTTTTCGCAGATTAGAATATTTCTTGGTGATTCCCCTACTTTTTTTTTCAACGCCAAAAAAAATCAATATTTTGCAGAAAACGTAGCTAAACCACACACACAGCATGAAAATACATCCAATAATCTAGCAGTTTGCAAAGTTCCAAGGCAGGAAAATAATAAAAAATATTTTTCTTACAAAGTCAAAATTCTACCAGGTAGGGAAATCATTACCGGGGAATCTCGGAAGGGTGAGGGTGAGTTTAAGGACACGGTGAAAGCGTATGGAAACAACTGTAGCAATAATCCTGCAGCTATTATTCATCTGTTACTCTTACTGGTTTTGTTAAGCACAGAAAAGAAATTTTCTCACAGAAATCGCCTTCGTCTGCGAACAAAGGCTATTGTTTTTAAATGGGCTTGATAGTACATCGCATCATTTTTTTGTGCAATGGAACCTTAAGCTAGTTAAAAGTTACTTTTGTTCAGAAATGTAGTAGGCCCGATGCTTAAAAGAATTGAGTTCCCAGTTTTGAGAGGGGCAGGTAAAGTTAGGCAGCGTTAAATTGCGTTGCGTTGCACTATATCATACAATTTTGGACGGTTTCTGTTTCGTCGCCTTCAGATTAAGGACCCGTTGACATTTATCAATTTTTATAAGTTTGTTCCAGTTTGTGAGGTTTGGTACTTTTTGACTGATCAGTTGTTGTTCATGGGAGTGGCCTAAATAAGGTGACAATGTCTCTACAATATTTTTATATCCTTGATTATTCAGTATCTTTGCTTTCAAAATTAAACGTTTCGTTTGTACATATCGCTCAAATGCAGGTCGGTGTAACCTTTAAGTTAACACTGATTGGTAAGATTATGGATAAGGATATAAGTGAACACTTTAGTGATTATTGTAAGTCATGATTATCATATTGGAGCATAGCTGGTTGAAACTGTATTTCCCCACATAAAAATACGGAAAACACGATTTCTAACTTGAGAAAGGCTGGTTATAGTTCGCATTAACTGTTTTGTTTTCTTATTAGACTGTTAAGAAGGCATACTGTCATTAAGCATCATCTGGTATATTATTGACTGTACATTTAACACTTTCCCTTAACAAAGGCAAATGTATAGTCTTCAAACCGTGCCAAGTATAAGACGTCAAATTTTAAAATTCACAGAAATATTTGTAATCAACATCATGATTGTTCGAGTATAAAGGGAAAAAAATTTTTTGGGAGTAATTTTGGATGAAAATTGTGGAATTCCCTTGAACTTGTCACAATTGAAATTTTGCCATTCAATTAGTTACATTTTCCTTTTTTTTTCTTACAATAGCAATCCCTCACCCTTACCCTCACCCTTGGTGGTACCCTTACCCTTGTTTTAGCAACGGCATCTTCTCTTTTCAAAGTAACTATGAACTCACTCAGAAAATCATTGAGTTCCTGTGGTTGTATCTCTTCTATTTTTCTGTTTTCTGGTTTGGATTTCAGAAACTTGGAGAGCAACGACATCACCCTCTCCTCCCTTGGCTTAAGACCACGGGTTCCAATAGGAGAAAATGCGATAGTTGTATATCGTTTTGCTGGTATAAAAAATCATTTTCGGGATATATTGAAAACCTTTCAACAGGAACACAACCTTTAATAGCACAGATGCAGTAATAACAAGGTTTAAATGATTTCTTTTGCAATACAAGTAGCAAACAAATTATAGAATACTAGTTTACTAGTTTGACAAGTTTTCTAAAAAATTTCCCCGTCTTTCTCCTTTACACGTTTCTTCACCAACTGAAATTTAACACAGCACTAAGGGACTGTTCGTTATTTATGCCTGAGGGGGGGTCAGTGATTTTCAATGAGGTAAGTATATTAGATCAACATCTCGCCAAGATTGCTCGGTTGGTTTCGCTTCCTCTGGCAGTACTCCCCCATCAACCGTCATCTGTTTGGCACATTTTGTGCTACCCCAATTTGTTGTTTCTGTGGCAGCACGATTAGGCTCTTAAGTGTTTTTGTTATTTTTTAAACAGTTTTAGTTTTCCTTTTGTTTGTCTTTATTGTAGGATTTCCTGAACACACATAGTCAATGAAGACAGTAAAATTGTTGTCAAGTACTCTTCTGAGAGGGCATAAATCAATCTGTCTGTATTAAACAGCAACAAAGTTGCTTTTGTCATTCATGAGACCCAGATGGTGCCATTGAAATTATTTATGATCAGAAGGTTTATTTTTCACTTCTGAAGTGCATTTATTACTTCTTTGTGAGTGGGAGAAATTAACTGTGTTTGAGGGTCAATGCTTGTATTAGCTACAGAGTCGTGTGTTTAAGTTGGTTGGTGTTCTTCTCTGAAACGATCTATATCTGAATCACATTGTTTTTCAAACCAAAGATGGACTTGATTAGCAGTATTATTGTATTCGGTTTTTAGAGATCCAAAGCAACAATGTACCTGTAGATGAGAAACCTTACCAAGATATGTTCTAAATCAAATTAATAAAACATATACCTGTACTTGTTTGGGGTATGAATTGTGTTTTCAACAACATGATAATGTGACCAGACAGTCACATTTTTTCAATCCCTCATCCACTTACCTCAGACTAAACAAAAACCCCATAACCTCTGATTGTTACTGTTTATATATATATGTAAGCAGCTTCTATTTATCTTTGGGAGCAGTGTTTGTTTATTTCACAGGTGATTGGCAGTATTCCTTACCCATATTATTAACACTACACCTTTCTTTATTGATAAATAAGTACACAACGCACAAGTTAACGATAATAAGATGCCAAAGCCAGAGGCTTATATGGCGTAGGTCAGAGAGTTACAATGTGCTGCTAAGTTACAATGAGAGTAAAAATTAATAAGTACAAGATTTACAGAGAAAAGGCAAACTTTTACAACATATAAACAATTATTACTGCATATAAAGCAAAAAAAAACATAACAATTAATGATAGTGTGCAAAAAGTAATAAAGAAAAGAGTTTGAAGGCAGAAAAAATTTGAGTTCAACTCAGTTTAAACTTATAATGATTGAAAATAATCTCTCAGTTTATGTTTATAACTAGAAAGAGTAAGTGAATTACAAAGTGAGGGAGGAATGTCATTCCAAATTTGTGGACCCGGTACCTGAAGAGAAAAAGGATATTTGTGAGTATGAAGATGTAAGTTGTCTTTTTGCCTGGTGAGATATTGATGACAATCAGAGTTAAGAACGAAAAGAGATGAAAGAGGAGTGGGCAAGAGCTTCTCCATGTGAAAGAAAAAAAAGCAAGAAGCTTGGTACTTATAACTATTAAATATGTTGAGTATTTTTGAATTTGTTAAAAGCGAGTAAGTATTTGCACCTGGTGGAGAATGAGTAATGATCCTTAAAGCTTTCTTCTGGAGACGGAAAAGGGGTTGTAAATGAGAAGAATATGTGGATGCCCAAATAATAGAACAGTAATGAAGATATGCGAGTATTAAAGAGTTGTATAATGTGCAAAGAGTTTTAGAAAGGAAAAACTGTCGTGATTTGATAATCCCAATGGATTTGGCAATTTTGGATGAAATGACTGATATGAGCCTGCCATGAGAGGTTTTGATCAATGATAACACCTAAGAATTTGTGTTCTACTCTATTAATACTGTTCTTATCAATGTTAGTAGAAAGACCATCAAGATTTCTTTCTTTCTTGCAGGGTGAAACAAAATAAATTTAGTCTTGTCGGGATGCAAAATTAGCTTGTTAGCTTTGAACCAGGTAGCCACAAAAGAAAGTTCATGGTTCACAATTTTAGTTAGTTCAGAGATATTTTTGTGTTGAAAGAAAATAATGGTGTTGTCTGCGAAAAGGATGAATGAGAGATAATTAGAGCATGAAAAAATGTCATTCATGCATATAAGAAATAAAAGTGGCCCTAACACAGACAGAAATATACAGTTAAAGATCATATTTCTCATACTACACGAGAAAAAGACGATCATTATTACATCCAAACACGGCACAAGGATCTTTTTCCCATTACAATCTTATTCTAAGAAAACTTCAAGAAAAAATGTCCCGAAACACGCCCGAAAATACAAACGAAATG